AGTAGTAGTAGTTAGTAGTTAGTAGTTAGTAGTAGTAGTAGTAGTAGTAGAAGTAGTAGTAGTAGTAGTAGTAGTAGTATAGTAGTAGTAGCAGTAGTAGTAGTAGTAGTAGTAGTAGTAGCAGTAGAAAGAGCAGTCGTAGTGGCAGTAGCAGCAGCTGCTGTCAGTAAAAGGCGGCAGTTCCCTCGGCTATAGCACTGTAGTAATTGCAGTACTTGCATTTGCTTATTTCGTGTTTGTGGTCCTCGTCGCTTGCGACATTGATAACAATTCAATCACAAATGGGGCATGGGCAAGATGACCAAGATTGCCAAGATTGCCAAGATTGCTTGGCAATCTTGCTTATTACTTGGCCCTTTGGGATAGAAGTCCAGAAACCCGTTTGTAGAGTGTCCGGACCTCCAAACTCGTGACAGAAATCATAAACAATCTGATGGTGTGAGGGTTTAGGTTGACCCAAATACTCCAAACCCAACCTGAAGCGTAAGTGTACAGGCCGAAGATCATGGCGTTGATCTCGTCGGCATGCCCAGAGATGAAGCGCCAAATAGCATCTGCATCCTCCGTACTGCTACAGCTCGCGAGACGAACCTGGGCTCGAGAGCCGTGGGGCAGTCGACGGCTTGCGTTTCACTACCATACGGGGTTAACTAATAATCCATGCTCTTCCCATACATTCTCTGCATGATTATAACATTCACAAAACATTTCCAACATCATGAAACCATATTGTGCTCCGAGCAGGAAAGCTTCACTAAACCTTATACCTGAACCCCGACCTCCTCAGACAGCTGTTAGTACGCAGCCAGGCACGGAAAGGGCAGCTCTTGAAGGTACTTGGAGTTGGGGACCAGAACGTCCCCACAAGTGCGATTTAGGGTTTAGGGTTTAGGGGTTTAGGGTTTAGGTGTCAGCCACATTCAAATTCATTATGAAAGCTTTAACAGTTGGAATGGGATCACGCTTTCTTCAGAGTCTATGGTACGATGTCAACCCGTTTCTGGACTCAGCGTTCATTTTCCTGACGTCACAGGATGCCAGACATACTTGGGATTCATGATCAGGGCGTGCGGGATTTGGCAAGGCTGTTGACGGGCATGGGCACAAGGCTGACCTTAAACTAACAAGCTTCTTGTTCTGCAAAGGGCCACATCAACATGTTTGTGCTTGTGAAGCTATGCTGGTTGCACATGACAGATTCTAACCTCCAACGATATGAACAAATCCCTCGATACTTCTTACTGTGAAAATCAGTTCTGTTACTGATGTATAATTACCATTTTGGCCTTGTATATACATACTCTCGAACCATGTACTTGTACTTTGTATGTTCTATGGGCCATGTCATGTTCTCTATAGCTTGCAGTCGCACCGCACACCTACGCATAGTGTACGTGTATTCGATGCTACTCAAGTTTCAGTAGCTGAACGTCTCATGGGGCACCAAAAAACTAATCGACAGATTCTGCACAATAAATGGTCATTAACATCGAACAACCAGCAATATATGTGACAGAGGAGACCGCATGCTTCTGAACTGGGCTCTCAAGGTGGTCATATGCATAGCTCCAGAGTTTGAGGTATCTTGAAACCTGAAGCGTCGGATTGCCTCGGACATGTAGGCAAGGATGCTTTAAGCAGGGAAGCATCCAGAGCTCGTTTCATACTCTGGGTGGCCTTGTGGGTGCTTTGTTGCGCCCTCTTAGACCAACGATCATAGCGTCGACTGTAGATGCCAGCAGCTATGATGTCCATATCCTGCGCAATATCCACACGACACACGCGCACAAACCCATGACGAAGATCAACATGCACTGTCATTCGAACTACCATGTAAGCAAAGCCTGCCGGACCTGCGTTTGTAAGCCCTTCCAACAACAGGTGCTACTACGATTATAAGAGCCAATATATAAGGTAAGTAAATGGACCAAATGTGCGCCCGCTCTAACACAGAAGCGCTGAAATCAGAGCATTCGACCCTTGACCCCAACCCCTAAACCAAGAACCACGAATCCCGAACTAAATTTGACAAACCCAGAGAACCCTAATGAATCTATAATTATAAACCCTAACTTAAGCCCCCCTTTGAGAACAACGCCCGTCCGAAGCAGCTTGCTCTGCAGCCTCATTGATGGCCGCCTCCCTCCTGCGTGCCTCCACTGCGCGACGGATCGCGCGCTTCGCGCTCTTGGATGCCCCAGCATTCGTCGCGAAATGAGCCGGATCTCCCACGACAGCTGTATGCACCTGGCTACTCCAGGAGTCTCCAGCAATAATTGCCACATAGTCATGTTGCTGAGCTTTCTACATCCTAACGTCCCCAGGAGGTGTTAAGAAGGGCTGCTTTCTATTTATGTGTGTATGTATATATATATATATAGAAAGAAAGAAAGAAAGAAAGAAAGAGAAAGAGAAACAGAGAGAGATCTGAGTGTGTGTGTGTGAGTGAGTGAGTGAGTGAGTGAGTGAGTGAGTGAGTGAGTGAGTGAGTGAGTGAGAGTGAGTGAGTGAGTGAGAGTGAGTGTGTGTGTGTGTGTGCGTGCGTGCGCACACGTGTGTGTGTGTGTGTGTTTGTGTGTGTGGGTGGGTGGGGGTGCGCGCGTGTGTGTGTGTGTGCGTTTGTTTTCCAAGGGCTTCTGCAACAACAAATCCTATAAGAGCTTAATTATATTTCAAGAAACAACCAAGGTGCTGCAAGATGCCTGGCACAATGTGCTTCGAATACACACCATAATCTGCTGTGGATGGGCACGTTCGCATTCGCAACCATCAGCATCTGCTTGGGTTGGCGAAGCAACCTTCATTTGTCTGTGAACTCTTTGTCCAGATGGTGGGGGGCACTTTGGTGGTTCATGGCGCAAGGGTTGTAACATGTTGTAGCAGTGGCGTCTACTAACATGACGCAAAAGAAACAAAACATGCTAGACATCGCGCCCTAGCAACACCTGAAAGAAGGGCGATGACAACGGATTCTGGATGAGGGCTCTCAAAAAGTTGGGTAGGTTCTGCGGGTTGGCCAAAGCACAAATATAGGCGGCCTCGCAATCATCCGGCCAGTTTTCTAAGACAGTTCCGGTCAGCTCGAAAACTCCCTCAGCCCAGGCATGCGAGATGAACAAGTCGCACTTCAGGCCGTAGGGATTGCAATGCAAAGCGTAGCTCAAACCTTAGGTGCTCGAGCCGCCCTTAGCCTTGTAGTCTGTGCCAAGGTTCCGAAGCTAGCCTCCTGCTTTCCCTGGTGGGGCCTTTCAAAGAGCACTGAGGCTGAAACGGGAGATACCATGGAAGGGGTCATTCTGCTCTGTCGTCGGCCGGATAAAGCCTGCATTGACTTGATGCATATTCGGTCCGATCACCGGGTCACAGAACTTCTCATCACCTAGCTGGGAGCATGTTTCGCAAGAGACATGCTGGTCAGCCGCGATACGTCATTATTAACCCTTAAAACCTACCCATAGGCCCCTAAGTAGTCCTTTTTTATGGTTTATATTTAGAATCCTAGAAGGTAATCCCACAAAGGAACTACTTAGGGGCCTATGGGTAAACCCTTGCATTCTAGTTCTCCGTTCTTCTACGGATGTTCCGCGCTTGAACGGGGCTCTGGCTTAGGATTCTGAAGGCTTTTTGCCCTAGGGTTTAGGGTTTTAGGGTTTAGGGTTTAGGGTTTAGGGGCCCTGCATAAAGATTCGGAGATGTGGCTGGGGGGTTTAGGCTTTGGTTTAGGTCATCTACACCCAAAGGGGGCGCCTTGGGGCCTAAACTGAACCTACAGTCTCCATTGTAGTTCCTTTCCTCGGTTTAACCAATTCTATATTCAGGATCCCAAAAAGGTAACCCCAAAAAGGAACTACCATGAAGACCATAGGTAGCCCCTTATAAACCTTGTAAGCGGCGCCCAGCCACGGTAGTACGGAATGCCCTGTTTCTTGCACTCGGATCGGCTGAAGTTTACCAAGAGCCGCTCCACCAATCTCTGCCGCACCCGCTCCTCGTCAAAGCTAGGATGCTCGCAGGCGCACGGCCAGTTTGAAACAGGTTTCTCACTAAGGTAGCTAGCTGCGACACACAATCCCCAAATATGGAGAAGCTACCCTGAACCCCAAAACCCACGAACCTTTAATTCTAAACTAGCTACTCATGAAGCCTCTAGCAGAAAATTTCGTTTCGTTTCTGAGGGCCGTCCATCTTGAATCGACTAGAAGTAACCGTCATATCTGCAACAAAGGCGGCTTCAACTATATATTCCCCCATGCCTCGAAGAAACTAAATGTGCCTTCTCCCGGGCATGGAGAAAAACCTAAATCCAAGGGTTTAGGGTTTAGGGTTGGGCCTCAATAGAACACCCTGAACATCTGTTGAGCCTTCCCCCACCCAATCCTTGGTGAGTGGAACCGAAGATTTTGGGGCATTCGTACCGTAGTCTGTTGGCTTAGGGTTTAGGGTTTAGGGTTTAGGGTTGGGACATACCCGGATACGCTCCAACCAAGGACGCCTCAACTCCTGCAGACCAGGTCACAGGGCTGAGGTATAGGATAGTGTTGGTTGTGTGCTAATGTAACTGTATGCATGTATGTATGTATGTATATATATATATACATATACACACACACACACACATATGGTATATGTGTGCGTATGAAGATTACTATAGATGTGTATATATATATAACATATACACACGGCTGTGTATAGAGTTTAGGGCTTGTGTGCGTTGAAGTTTGGCAGTGTGCGTATGGCTTGTAGGTTTGAAAGCGCTCAAGCTCAGACGAAGGATCTTCGAAGTCGCGTAGCTGCTCTTTGCTGACTCCCCACCTGATTCGGGCTCGGTTTAGGGTTTAGGGTTTAGGTGTTGTTGGGTTGTAGAGCATTTAGGGTTTCTGGTGTTTTTCTTATGGCAGTTGCGGGGTTTAAGGCTTGGGACTTTTTGCCGGTGGCACCATGCACGCATCCGTGCCACTCTTTCTCTCGGTTGTCCTCTTACGATCTTTGCTCAAAGTGGTAACTGTACCAATGGTTCCGGACAGCCCAGTAAGTATTAAGATGCCAGTTGACATAGCAGACATAGCAAACACACATGGCAACAACATTGCAGATCGCCTTACGTCCTGAAAAGCCTTCAAACGAGAATCCCAATTATCCAGCAGCCCTTACCCAGGGCCGGGAAGAACTTCTCGCTCTCAAACTCTAAGCCCCGCTGTACACCCAATGCAAAGCTTGCCCAAGGCTCGGGTCATGGGCATAGAGGTGGGTCTTAAGGAGTGGGAGGTTCAGGAGGCGTGGTGTTTAGGTTTAGATGAGTTTCAGATGTGGCAGTGTGCGACAGGAGGATTGAACGATAGAAGCGATTGTTTCAGACCGCTGAGGTGTGCTCAGTATCAGATCACGAAGCCAGAGAATCTAGGATTGTCCGATGCCCTAAACCCTAAAACACTCCTATCAGCGTTCAGGGTTTCGGGCTCCTGATTACACCCAGTTCGCATCGTGAACCGTTCACCCGTCTTTACCTTTGGGATTTCGGGGATTCAATCCCGGGCTTGCGTTTTTCTCGGAGTCACATGTCCTGCTAAACTAGACACGACATGCTTAAAAAAAAAGACCTGAAGTGTCGAACCTCTATCGGTTTAGGGTTTAGGGTCGGGACCTCTGTAAATCCTGCTAAACCAGAAAGCCCTATGTACCCAAATCACACAGCCCCTCGAGACTTAGGTTAAGCCCTAAACCCGGAACCCCGGAACTAAAAGCCCCGAACCCTGTAACTGCCCACAGCCGCTGTAAAAACCTCCACAAAGCCTCAGACTTTAAGGCCTTTAAGGTTTAGAGAAAGAAAAAGAGCCGAACCTCTCAGCTGGCAAGTCTGCTTGCACCACTTCCGCGCCAGAGTTGCAGCCTTTCTCTGCAACCACCGCCCTCTCGAAGACTGCATGGGCTTCCTGAAATCTATCCGGTTTGGGGGTAGGGGGGGAGGGGCGGCGGGAGGCCTTCCCTTTAGGAAGCTTAGGATTCTCTCTTTTTGCGAATCTCGGCTTGAACTAGTGGGTTTGGAGTTTAGGGCATCGTCCAGCCGTCATGCTGGCTTTGAACAAGTAGGTAAGTAGGACTGATCACAGATAGAAACCCTGGAGATATCCATGAAGCTTCTTGGAATTTCACTGGGAGTCGGGTTGCGAGACTCTGATCGAATCCTTGGTGCCTAAGGGTTTAGGATGAAACAGGGGCTTATAGGATTTATGATTTCGCAGGACGATTGAGCTTATCGTCAAAAACCTTGTGCTCCCGCCGTGGGTTTGTGCGCGAACGTCTCACAAACACAAACACAAACACAAACACACACACACACAAACACACACACACACCACACCACACCACACCAC